TCAAGGACAAGTTCTGTGATGATGAGTTGGCTGCAGAAGTTCTTTTTGATGAGGTTTGCTCTTATGCCACTTCTCTTCCTTAATGTTGTCTAATCTTCTTGCTTGATATTCAGGAACTCATCTCAGACAGTGAGACTTTTTGGTTTTTCCACAGAGATCTATGAATTTATCAGTGCTTGTCGTCTTTGTTTGAATTACGAGCCTGTCCCATGTTAACAAACTGACTGCATTGAGCTTAAACTTTGCGGTTTCCAGGCATTTTGCATTGTTGCTGAGGAAGAACCTGCTGATGTACGGTTTGGCGTGGATTTACTACAAGCCATAAAGATCGAGTGACATATAGGCATTAGCCCTTCACGGAAATGTCTTGATTTTATCCTGAATGCCTGTGTTAAGGCAAAAGACCTGCAAAACTCTCTTTTGATTTGGAAAGAATACCAGATTGCTGGCCTTCCTTATAATGTTTTCAATTTCCTAAGGTAAGCAATGGTATGGTAATTGATCACTTTATCCTGCATGTCATGCAGATCCTGTGATTCTGATGGATTTTACTTTTATTCCGATGTGTTGTTGCAGAATGTATCAGGCGCTTTTGGCTTGTGGAGATCACAAGTCAGCAGAAGCAATGCGAACTAAAATTCCAAAAGACGATCCAGCTGTACGGATGTCATCAGAGCATTCCAAGTGACTTACCCCAAGTCAACAACACCTGCAAAGCCCAACAAGCGGCTGCAGCAGCAAGAGAACAAGTAAAACTGAAAGCAAAACACGAACTTGAACAGAATAGGATTCAACATTCTTTGTCCAAGAGAAATCCTCCAGGCATTTTTTCTTGTATACTTCCTGTTAGGTCTAGCTCTTTATTTTTGTATTTCTGTAGCTGCTGCTTTTTCTTGCCCTCCCTTGTTCACTAAAACGTACGTGTTTAGCAACATTGCACGGTATGCATGGAAACCAAAAGGGGTTGATGCTGTGGAGCATGGAATGATATCTTTAAACGCATCGTCATATTAAAGACTCGTCTATATATGGTTGTATTGTATCTGTGTAAAAAGTAGATAATACTTCTTCGGTAGCCTTTGTAAATGTACTTTGAGAACACTTAACCGTAGAAAAAGTATATAGATGGAGACATTTTCTCATTCGATCTTGACAGAATCAAGTTTATAATTACAGATTTGTAATATCACCAATTACAATTAGAAATTGACTTTGATACCACTTACAAGACTATATATTTACCCATGTGCTGTTAATCAAATGATAAAAATGTTAATTTTAAGGCAATGGTTATTTATTTCCTTATCGATATGTGATGAATATGTAAAAAATTAA